TTGGCCTCTTTAGTGGTAAAATCTCCTCTTAAAATGACATTGGTTGTGTGCTATGTGACTGCCATAGTCATTACTGGTCATAATAGAGCAATTTACATCATGTGCATGGTGAACTGGTGAACTGGTGAGATCATCAGTAGCACAGGTATTTTCATTCCAGTCCTAAATTATCACAAGTCTGGGCAAATCAGCAGCTGACTTCTGTCATGTCATTTGTGTCAGTGTGGGGTAAAGAGACTATGATCAGTAATAAGGCTGCACCACTTCTGGTATTGCCCAAATGTGATGGGGAAGGAGAAAAAATCCAGCTCCAAAGAGCTCAAAACCAACCTGCTTCTTCCTCTGTGAATTGTTAATAGTGCTTCCTTAACTCCTTTATATAAGGATGTGATGGAGATTAATAATTTTGAAAAATTGTCTGAAAAGCAGCCTGCTCATTAATAATTTTCTCACATAAGCCCATTTCCTTCCAGACTCTACAGCCTTTCCATCTCAAGTGCCTGTTTCCTGGACAATAAAGTGCTTTGCTAATGTTGGGACCACATTCTGACATCCTCATTCACATTGATTTCCATTTGCTCCCTGAGGAATCCAGCTGGAATCAATAGGATGATTAGCACAGCCCCCATCCTGGGCCCAGGGACACAAATAACTCATGTGACTTGTGACATTTATTTCAGAGGGATTGGTCATGTGGCTAAAATTGCATGTTTGAGTGCAGGCTTCAGACCCAGTCAGGGGTTACCTGCAGTGAATAAGAGTTGGGGAATTTGCCCATAAGGCATTTGCAGGAATCACTTCCTCCAGCACTGGAGTGTGACCCAGCATCATGTAGCATCAATAAACAATGCCACAGTGTCACACTCATCCACTGGGCTTTGTCTGTGAGATGTGACATTGTCTTTACGTGACCATTTTGGAAGGGGCTGCCCAGGGAAGTGGTGGAGGCACCATCCCTGCATGTGTTCAGGGAAAGGCTGGATGTGGCACTTGGTAGCCAGTGTGGTGGTGTTAAGCCATAGGCTGGACTTGATGATCCTAAAGGTCTTTTCCAGCCTTTTCTGTGATTCTGTCATTCTGTGATCTCAAGACCACAGTACCTCCAGATCTGTTGTTTCCATTTCTGCCCTGATGATCTTCCCTTTAAAAACAAACTGATTGTAACTGCCTCACAACAGCAAAACTCACACACTGCTGTTCTGGAGAAGGATCTAAACTCGGTGAATGCCACTCCTGTGCTTTGTGTGTGTGTGTGCAAACTGTAGGGGTAAGTACAATAAATGTTCTCTGAGGGCCTGGAAAGCATCAAGCAGTGCTGTCACTGGCACTGCTTATTAGGAATTGATGAGAAATGAGGCAGAGGGGCTGTGTGTTCTAAATCAATCCCTATGGGACTCTGCTGCTGGATAGGAGAGCTGGTGAGCAGAGAAGCAAATTGTTTTGTTAAGGCAAGTACAGGAGACCACTCTCTTCCCCACTCATTTAATTAGATCATTTCTGTCCAGTACAATGTGAAATATGGGCAGTACTGGGAGACTCCTACTTAATAAATACCATCTAGCCATTACATCATGGTGCCCACCTCCCAGCCAGGGCAAAAGCAAAGCTTCCAGCTCCCACAGGAGCACTACAGAGATTACAGCTCTGACATCCAGCCCCTGTGTGTGCAGGGGGCTCACAAAAGGCTGGAGGTGTTTTCCCAGACATCTCCTGACTGCCTGGCTAACATGTCCCATCCAGAAAACACCTTTATTCTCCTTTGCTGATTGTGATTAGTAGTTGCTTTCTGTAAATGAGGTGTTACTAGTTGTACAGCTGTTCATGGCCATTCAGTGGCTCTTGCCTTGTCCCCAGAGTGTTTCTTACACGCAGCATATGGCAGCAATTAATGACTCTGAATCTGTCCTTGGGCTGGTCAAATTACCCAGTCCTCTGTGCTTATCTGTGAGTGTTGGTAGGGCTTCCTTCCAAATGTGGAGAAATAAGGGGAAGATGGCTGTTTCACCAGAAATAGAGAACATGTTTCTAAACAATGAGGGGGCTGGTGATGGAGATCCTTGGGTTAGGTCTCCAGCAGGCAGGTTGTTCAGGCATCAGCTGCTTCTGCAGGGCAGGAGCCAGCAAAGGAAATGACAAAAAGCCTTTGTGTAACCAAAGTCTGAATACTCACCTAGGGTGGAACAGCTTAACAAGTTTAGCTGCTGTATTTCACCACAGAAAGAGTCAAGGCTGGGGAGGAGAAGGATTTTAGTCCCCCATTGCTAGGACAATGGGCAATGGTCATGAGTTTCAGCAAGAAGGAAATTTATACTGGTTATAATGAAGAAACTCACAGAATCACAGAATTAGCTTGGCTGGAAAAGACCTTCAGATCACTGAGTCCAACCTAAGGAATTTTCACTAAGAACATCTAAGCTCTTGAGCAGAGATCTGGATTGGCTGCAGGGTCTGTCCTCAGCCCAAACTCACCTGGACAAGGCTGTGAGCAACCTGATCTGCCTTTCAAGGTGAGCCCACTTGGAGTGGGTGGTTGAACTAGAGACCTCCAGAGGTCCATTCCAACCTGAATTACTCTCTGATTCAGTGTAATTCGACTTGTCAAGCCACTAATAGGGACTTCTGCCTGCACCAGGCTGCAGGAAAAGTCTGAATTACAAGAATAAAGCCAGAGCTATGCAGAAAGGTGACTCAGCCAAGTCATACAGGAAATAGGTGGCAGAGAAGACACTCGCCAAAGCCTTAGGAAAAACGCTCTTCTCGAGGTGGAAAAAGAAAAAAAAGAAGAGCATTAGAACACAGTTTCCGAGCAGCTTTTGGGCAATTCTGCCCTGGCTAAAAGGTGCCTTGAGCTTCGTCCTCGCTGCGTGTCCAGTGGGAGCAGCTCTGCACGGAGCAGAAAGGGTGGAGCTGAGCCCTGTGATCCAGGCTTTGTGGGCAGGCTCAGCACGAAGCCCCGGGCACCCGTCAGGAGCCGCGAACGATCGTCTTGGCCACTTCTCCCGGCCCCCGTGGGAGCGATGCATAAAAACCCCACCGGCGTGCGGCGGTAGGGGAAACCTGTTCCTTGCACCTGGGCAGCGAAGTTTGGCGTGTGGCTGGTGAGCAAAGCAGGAGGAGAGACCTTCCCACCGTCCCACCCCCCCGGCTGGACTCTGCCCTCCTCCCCGCTCTTCTCCCGCTCCCTCCCGGGA